CGCCGACCGTGGGGGCGGTGGGCCGCCGCCCCGGGGGGGGTTGGCTGCTGGAGTGGCTGGCCCAGGTAGCTCGCGTTGGTTGCTGAACGGTCGCAGGGGGGTTGTCTCTTGTGTTTGCCGGCGCCGCGACGCTCGGGCGTTCGGGAAGCGGGGTGTTTCTTAAGCAGGCTCACTTTAAACCCTTCCCCTCCCCTCCCCCGCGAAAAGGATGAGCTTTCGGTTTTTAGGTCTCACCGCGTTAGGGTTTCATACTGACGTGAAAAACACGTTTTGTGACAGGCATGCACTGAGGCAGTAAGATTAAGAATCATCCGCAGCATTTTTTTGTCATTTTCTGCAACTTTTTTTTCCCTTCTGTGTATTGTTGTACTTTTTTTGTTTGTTTGTTTCCCTACTGAGAATTCCAGTTGAAAAGCTGAGCGCGCTTACAAAGCTGCCTCAGCCTAGCTTTGCGCTTCAAAGAAGTGGCCCTGTCCAGAAGGTGTTTTGTTCCCCGTGCAAAAGCCACGGGGGTTTCCGTCTGGAGTTGGTGGTGCTGCTGCTCAGCTGCTGACTGTCAGGTTACGGTGGGCTTCTCGGAGCCCCCTTTGCCCATCGGCTGCCCGCAATCACAGGCTGGGTATCTAGTACACAGCTCAGGCAGACTTGTGCTTAACGTGGAAAGTCTCTTGGTGTAGCCGCTGATGAGGACTACTTGTCTGAGGGGTGTGGAGGGAAGAGGTGACAAATTCTCTCCGTGCTGACAAACCTTAGGCTCCGAGGGAAAATTAACATCGGACTCAGGGAGGATATATCTGTGCACTTTTGTATGAAGAGCTGCAACCTCCAAGAGTTTTAAGAATAAAATGATCGCATTTAATAAACGCCTTTTTGGTAAAGCCATGTTCCTTGTTTTCCTGCTGCATTACTGATGAGCAAGTTGAATCAGAAGTCCAAAACGATTGTATAATAGCTGTACCTTGAGGCAGTCTGCGTGTATGACTGAGGGCCCTGGTGATCTTAAGACACCTGGCAGAGAATGCCCTATGGTTAAGGAAGGGAGCACAAGGCCTGTTTCACACGTTAGGCTCAGTTTTGAATCCCAGGAATTTTATGGGGGCCTGACGTTAATTGTGAGGAACAGAGATTCGTTTGGTTGAATGGCATATTTCTCTGAGAAAGAAGCAGCAGGAAGGAAAATGCCAAATACACAGGGAGCATTAGTCTGACAGATAGATAAAATGTTTGTAGTTTGATCCTGAAAAGATGCTGAGAGAGAAAGAGAGCTGGGCTGCATCCCAAATAGGAGGCGTCTCGGCACTGAGAGTTCATG